AAATACCTCAGGTTGGTAAGGGTCCTTGCCTTGACTTTGGGTTGGTATAGGATTTCGCATTAATAATGTTTTAAATAGGGCTAAAAAAAAAAAAAAAAAAACCTGGAAATCGAACCTAACCGAGGAAATCAGACCGAAACCAATTCGAAATCAGTTTTTCGGTAAAACCGGTTTGATTTCGGTTTCTAAAAAGGATCAAACTGGTTTATGGTTTAATTAATAGTTTAGGGGCATTTTCAAACCGGTTTTGCCAAAAAATCCCTTAACTTATATATTGACTAAAAATCCCTAATACCTTGAACCTGCTTATGCGAAATCCTACCTCCTCCCTCTCATCTCATTATGTCGCTGTTTATTCTCTATTCCTATCTCTCTTATTTGTCTCTTCCACTTCCTCTCTCTCACTTATGTCATCATTTTTCTCTGCCTAATTCACTGTTCTTCATCTAAATCTCCATTGTCTGGCAATTCTCGTCTATGTCGTTAGTGTCTGGCTGTTCTATATCATTTATTTTATCTATTATTTATTCATATAGGATAGGCCAAGATTAGTTGTTTATTTTTTGACATCAAATTCAACTACATTGAATGCGAGAAAAATTGGAAATTTTTGGCCTTGGCTTACCGGAAGGAGTACTCTTCGTCGGTTCAAATTGAGAGGGAAGAGCAACCCAGGCTTCGCATGTATCATCCATGGAATTCTTCTTATCTTGGTGCGGTGAGTCTTTTAGCGAATGAAAAAGAAACCCTTCATCATTTTTGTGCTTTTGAAAGAGCTGTTTTTGCTTTGTTTTGTTAGTTTAAGATTATGAGCAATCAATGTTCAAAATATTGGAATACCTAATCTGTTAATCAAATTAAAAGATAATGGATTAAAAAAATAAATTACATTTTCCATCATGTGCTGTAGCAATTATTCTGTATACAAAATCAAATTGAAAGAGGGAAACAGTAGCAAAATGGAAATTAGCTCAATTAAGGATTGTTATAAACCAGTTAACGGTTTTACTAACCAAATTATCGATTCGGTTAGAAACCAGTTCAAGCAATATTCTGGTTCGATTTCAGTTCGAAGTACTGTTTGAACCGAAAAAAAAACGGTGCAGTTAGAAAAAGTCCCCATCCGGTTGGTTAACCGGTTTTCCACACCCCTAGTTTTAATACTATCATAAAAACACAAAACCAATTGGTAAATGAACTACACTTAATTTCTATGACAAGCAGTAGGGTTCCAACTGAGAATTTATTCATTTGACTTATATCGTCATCAACAAGAATAACATATTTTTCTTGGAAGCTTTTTAACTCAATTAACGTCTTATTTATGATAGTACAAGACCAAATATTAAACTAATTGGCAGCCAAGATAGACCAATATTTCTTTTTATTTATTATTATTTTTTGACAAAGACTACATCAACAACAGTTGGGCGTGGTCCATTCTTTTCAAGAAATTTATTAAAAGTATGATCCACAATTTTCTGCAACATTCTATTGTTAAAGACTATTCTTGCTTCTTGGTAATAAGGTAGTCCAAAATAATTACTAATTAAGCTTATTGAATTGGCTATTCAAACATAGAATGTGAGGCAATTACATCCATGGAAACTTCTGTAACCATAAATATATTAATTACATTAACGTAGTCTGTTTTAAAGGGTCAAATACTTGTCACTTCCCAGATTTGACTGAAAATATCTCCTTCAAATTTGGGAAACTAACGTTTATCACACTCTTGACCACTATTAATTTTGGTTAGCAACAATATGCGTTTGAATGACTTTGTGAGTGGTTAATCTTTTTTTCTCATAACATTCTCAAGCGTATTCCCATAAATATCTACTCATACCTGTGTATCCGCATTATTACAAGGAAATGATCCTTAAGTTATTTTACTTCATTTCTCTTTTTAATAATACAGAACAATCAAACTTATTCCAAAACGGGTCAAAGCTAATAATGTTTCTTTTACATTCATGTTTGCGTCATATTTAATATCTTATGTTTTACATTCATGTTTGGGTCCACGGTAAAATTGTCATCGTATTTATGAAAAATTACCCCTCACCATTTAATTAATTATACACGTAACCAACATTTGTCTAGTTTACTATAACTCCATGGTAAATGTCATTCATTAATCTATCACCTAACTAATGTTTGTCTAGTTTGCTAAGTACTTATTTTGGTATAGAATTTTAATATATATATATATATATATATATATATATATATTATATATTATATATATATAAAGACTTTATAATGAAGTATTCATTGTTAAATTATACTTAGTAGGTGCAAAGAAATATATGATACTTGAACAAAACTGAGCTATCATCATCTACTTTGTCATTAATATAGGTTAACGACTTTCCCACCCAAAAAAAAAACAAAACAAACAAACTAATGACACTCTCCCACCATCAGACTTTTAAAATATCACTTTAGTACCCCAAACATAATTTTGTTAGTAATTTTCATTGTGAGGAAGGGCAAGATGGTCAATAGTCCCCTATAAGAAGGAAGAATGATCCACAAACATTTTGGCCACTGGAGAAGAAGAAAAAGAAAATGACAATTCACGTTAGAAGAGATAGCGCACGTTAGCAGTGTCGCAGCCAGTAGTTTTTGTCGTTTTTTCGGCTAATCCAACACTCAAAATCACTGAGACCACCCACATAATCTCCATCACCCCTCTACAAAGCCAAGCCTCCATTTGTTGTCATCACTCACCATTCCACCACACTCATTCACACGACAACTCTTCAAGCTGGATTTTGGTTGATTTCTTTGCCAGATCTCCCCTAGACACCACCATCACACTCCCACAACCCATCTACAAAACCCTTACCTTCACCACTGTCCTTTGCTCGCTGATTGCCGATCGTGCACCAAACAACCTTTCAACTTCCAGGCCAATTTTTAGTCGTTTCCAGTGTCGGAAATCCACCCTAAAAACACCACCAGAATCCCCATCTTCCCCTCTCCAAAACCCCTAATAGCCCTAGCCCTATTTGCTCACAATCATCGCCATCCTCTTCCTAGGGTTACGATTGCATGATAAAGTTGGGTGTGTGTTTAATTGATGAAATTAAGCAAAATTAGAGGTTGTTTGCCAATTGCACGCCGTTCGCTGTTCTCTAACACCTAAGGTTCCACTGTTCACTGTTCTCCATTCGTTGCTTCCCCAACGTCGAAGATGAGAAAAGGGTATTTTTGTCTTCGCAATGAAAATCATGTATTTTCCACCCAAACCAGAGAGAAACATAATATTTGGGTACTAAAGTGATATTTTAAAAGTTTGAAGGTGGGGAAGTGTCATTAAACTTTTTTTGGGGTGGGAAAAAGTTGTTAACTCTTTAATTTATATGAGCTCACTATAGTCCTTGTTAAATATCATTCATTAATCTACCACCTAACTAATATTTGTCTATTTCGCTATGTACTTATTTTGGTATAGAATTTTGATTATAAAAAAAAATAAATAAATAAATAAACGACTTCTATAATGAAAAAATCATTATTAATATTCTTAGTAGGTGCAAATAAATATTAGATAGCTTAGGACAAATGAGCTATCAATCATTCCTATTTTGTCATTTAATATATTACGAGGGACATTTTAAATTCCTTAAAGTCCAAAGCAAGTTTGAGTCTTTGTTTAATGGGTGATTATACAAAATGACGACACTAGGGGTGTTAAAGGAAAAAAATTAACCACTAACTTTACTTAAATACCAAAATACCCTTTTATATTCAAAACTTTCTTATTCTCCCCTTGATCTATTACAAACCATAAGTTTAAGAATTTTTGGTTTGAAATATTGTGATATTTTTTGTTCAATATTGAAACCAATGGATTGTATGCTACAACTAACTTTTCTAGTTTAGAAACCTGAAGTTCTTAGATTTGATGTAAATGTTTTGTACGTGTTAATGTCATGATATTTTATTATGAAATATGATTTCCTAGTGTTAAAATGCATAAAAAGTAGCTCAGTTATATGTAGATATAGTTGAGACTGAAATGGTGTTGCAAAACGGATCGAAGGTTTTACCATATGAGATTGAGGGTTTTTTCATGTAGGACTAGGGGTTTACATGCGAGATCCGTTTCCCCCTCCCCTACGATTCCCCTATCCATTATAAGCCATTGGAAGTGTGGGGATCTTGAGGGCTTTTTTTTTTTTTTTTTTTTTTTAATTTATTTGATTTTAGAGTAAACCTAAATTTTCTAAAAAAAATTCAATTACAGCAAAATTTTATCAAAAGCCTCCTTTCTTCTATACACACAAACAAACAACACAAAAAATAAAATTCTAACACTACAAGTATTATAACTCAAGTCGATGTTTTTAATTAGTCCAACAATTGATATTAAAAATTCTTCTTAAATTTTGTGGTTGAATTTGAGTCGTGAGATCAATGAGAGAGAAGAAGGAAAAAAGAAATAGGGTCTTAGGGTTTTTATTTTTTTATTTTCCTAATAAGAGGGTATTTTCGTCATTGTATCTTTTGTGGTCAATATGGAGGACACATTTGGGTTGTGGTTATTTTCTAAGCACCCGTCAAATGTGATTACTTAATCCAATTTCCTTTGTTTGATAGGAAAGAATCAGAGTTGAAGCACTTCACTTTGAAAAAACTTTTTATAAAAAAATAGTACACTAATAATATTAAAAAAAAAAAAAATCGAATCTTCTGACCAGTTTAGGGGTATCAACGTTACTATTTCTAAACTTCTGGATTATCATAACATTGTAACACATATGGGTCTGTATAAATCTTGCCAGAACTCAGGCTTTCCAGCAACAACCAAATCCTGCATACTGCTGTTATCTTTGTCTCCCTTTCACACTCTCTATTTCTAGCTTTCAGCTTCTTTGCGAACTTCAATCTAGTAAGTACTTTATAATTTTTCTCAGTCTAACGACTTCCTATTTGGAAACTTGAAAGTCCTCATTCTTTTTGGTTTCTTGAGGGTTAAGATAACTAGAATGAAGTTTTTCTTGCACCATTTCATGCTGTTTTTTAGCTTCACTGTGTCTTTGCATGCTGTCTTTGGTTTGACTAATGATGGGGTGGCCTTGTTGTCACTCTTGAGGCTCTTGACATCTGTGCCATCTCCCATAAGCTCAAGTTGGAATAGTTCAGATTCCACCCCATGTCAATGGGTTGGCATAGAATGTGATAGTGAGCAAAATGTGGTCTCTTTTAACCTCACTGATCATTTCATTTGTGGTCAACTTGGACCTGAAATTGGCCACTTGAGACAGTTGCAGACGATTGATTTGAGTATTAATAATTTCTCTGGCCATATACCACAAGAACTAGGCAATTGTAGTGCACTTGAGTCCTTGGATTTGTCTTCAAATTGTTTTACAGGAGAAATTCCTGAATCTTTATTTCAAATTCCAGGTCTGCAATATTTGTATTTGAACGTCAACAATTTAAGTGGTTCAATTCCTAGTATTGTTGGTGAAATGAGTAAGGTTCTGACTTTATCATTATATGGTAACAGTTTATCAGGTACCATTCCTGAATCTATTGGGAATTGCAGTACCCTGGAAGTGCTTTACTTGAATGACAACAAACTCGAGGGATTTTTGCCCGAGAGTTTAAACAATCTTGAAAACCTTGTAGAATTAGATGTCAACAATAACAGTCTTGTAGGTCACATCCCTTTTGGTTCTAGTAAATGCAAGAATTTGAACAGTTTGGTTTTATCATATAATAGTTTTAGTGGGGGCATTCCACTAAGTTTGGGTAATTGTACAATTTTAACCAAGCTAGCAATTGTGCACAGCAATTTAACACGTTCTATCCCTTCTTCCTTTGGCCTACTAGATAAGCTTTCCTATCTTTACCTTAATGAAAATAATTTATCTGGGAAAATTCCACCGGAATTAGGGAACTCTAAGTCCTTGAAAACCTTGAGGTTACAAGAAAACCAGCTTGAAGGTGAAATTCCGGATGAGCTGGGAATGTTGAGTGAATTACAGGATCTTCGACTGTACACCAACAATCTAACCGGTGAGATTCCGCTTAGTATTTAGAGAATTCCTAGCCTTGAGTATCTTTATGTGTATAGAAATTCTCTTAATGGGGAGCTACCTTTGGAGATGACTGAACTCAAACATCTCAAAAATATATCTTTGTTTGAAAACCAGTTCTCTGGAGTCATACCTCAAAGTCTGGGAATCAACACTAGCTTGATTCACATAGACTTTACCAATAACAAGTTCATAGGTGGAATCCCACCGAACCTTTGCTTTGGGAAGCAATTAAGAGTTCTTGCTATGGGTCACAATCAATTTCATGGTCGCATTCCTTCTGATGTCGGGAGTTGTTCGACTCTCTGGAGAGTTAGATTCGACAAGAATCATCTTTTCGGCCTTCTGCCAGAATTTTCCCATAATCCGATTCTCTATTTCCTGGACATCAGTTCAAATAACATCACAGGTGTCATTCCGTCGAGCTTGGAGAACTGTGCTGATGTTGCTTCAATTGATCTTTCTGGGAACAAGCTTACAGGGCTTATACCTCCAGAGTTGGGAGACCTCGTAAATCTTGAGAGATTGAATCTGTCACGCAACCATTTGGAAGGTTCTTTGCCACCTCAGCTATCACATTGTGGAAAACTAGTAATTTTGGATGTGGGTTTCAATTTGTTGAACGGTTCTATTCCATCCAGTTTGAGCAGCTGCAAAAGTCTATCCACTTTGAGTTTAAGAGAAAACCACTTTAGTGGGGGCATTCCAACTTTTTTACCAGAACTGGAGAATCTAAAAGAGCTACAAATTGGTGGTAATCAGTTGGGAGGTGAGATACCCCCATCAATTGGAGGATTGCAGAGTATACAATATGTGCTGAATCTCAGCAATAATGGATTGACAGGTCAAATTCCTTCAGAGCTGGGGAACTTGATGTATCTAGAACGACTGGATATATCAAGCAACAGCCTGACAGGAACTTTGGCTCCCCTTGCTCATATCCGATCATTAGTGGCTATTAATGTTTCATACAATCTCTTCACTGGTCCAGTACCAGAATCACTGGTTGCGTTGTTGGGCTCATCTGCATCATCGTTCGTGGGCAATCCCAGTCTTTGTGTCAAATGTGTTTCATCCAGTGGCTTAACATGTGCTGCAAACACTAACCTGAAGCCTTGTGATCAGCACGTAAGCAGTCAACAAGGCCTTAGGAAGGTTAAAATTGTTTTAATAGTCCTTGGAGCTTCGCTGTTTCTGGTTTTTTTGCTTCTTGGACTAGTTTGTTTTTTTCGATTGCATAGAAGGCTAAAGCAGGAAGCTGAGATCTCTGCTTTGGAAGGCTCATTTTCAATATTCAACAAAGTGATGGAGGCCACTGAGAATCTGAATGACCAATATATTATTGGTAGAGGAGCCCATGGAGTTGTTTATAAGGCCACATTGGATTTAAACACAGTTTTCGCTGTGAAGAAGGTTATGTTTGGAGGGCATAAGGCGGGGCGCTCGAGTATGATTAGAGAAATTCAAACTATTGGGACAGTCAAGCACCGAAATTTGGTGAAATTGGAAGAGCACTTTTGGCCAAGGAAGGAATACGGTTTATTGGTGTACAGGTACATGGAAAATGGGAGTCTTCATGATGTTTTACATGGAGCTAATGGACCACCAACTTTAGAATGGAAGGTTCGGTATAATATAGCAATTGGAACAGCTCATGCATTGGAATATCTTCATCATGATTGTGATCCTGCGATCGTGCACCGAGATATCAAACAAGAGAATATACTTTTAGACTCTGAGATGGAGCCTCATATATCTGATTTCGGAATTGCTAAGCTCCTAAATCAGTGTCCTGATTCAACATCATCCATCTCAGTGGCGGGGACGATTGGTTACATTGCACCAGGTAAATCTTCTACACTTTTCCTAGTATCGGATTTATCCTGAAATTAGATCTTTTAACATCATTTTTTATGATGGTCTTTGACAGAAAATGCATTTACAACAAAAAAGAGCAAGGAGTCTGATGTGTATAGTTATGGGGTTGTTTTACTTGAACTAATAACTAGAAGGAAGCCATTGGATCCATCATTTATGGAAAATACAGATATTGTGGGGTGGATTACATCTGTATGGAACAACACCAAAGAACTCGATGACATTGTTGATGCAAGCCTTGTGGAGGAATTACAGCGTTCTAAAATCCAGGAACAAGTAATTAGTGTGCTTTCAGTGGCTTTGGACTGTACCAACAAGGATCCAAGCAACAGACCTGATATGAGAGAAGTTGTTAAACGATTATTGAAGGCGAATCCCCCAACGACACGTAAATATAGCTAGATCTTTAGGGGTTGTTACTTTGTTTTGTTAATGATAGCCTACCCTGATATAGTTTCGCTTTTTATTCTGTGTGTCCAATTCCTCTAAATGTTCTAGTGAAAACCATGTACCTTTTAGACTTATCAATGAGAATTTTAATTTAGACCTTACAACTTTCCTCATTAGATTTTGTCAAATTCTAGCTAAAATAAATCTTGTCTATACATCCTACTATTTGATGGACGTACTAGATTTAAGGAAGATACATATAAATTAGTCCAATCTCTGCCTACTATGGTTACATATAGAAATACAGATAAAAAACTGATTCCATCTAAGGTTTGTGTAACATCAAGTGAAGGTCAAGAGAGAGAAATCAATTTATCTAGGAGATCAATATTGAGCAATTGTTGATGGCATGTTCTTATTCCGCATCAGGTACGCTTCCTAATTGAAATGATTGTGAGATTTGCATGTTCAAGATCTTCAATTATGTTATTGATGTTTGTTTAAGCATGATGTCTATGCATAATGTTTCTCAAGATTTTCTAACATCATGAGCTTGACAAGTTAATTAGACACCATTTAGACTTGGTTTGGAGTTGAGGTTATCTTCATTATTAAACATTTAAAATCATAATGCTATATCTACGAAAGATATATTATGAAGGATATATTTCCGGCAATATAAAATTTATTTATTGTTATTATATAGTTTCATATATCCTTTATAATCATCAAATTATTCCTTAAAAAAAAAAAATGTACTAGAATCGAGTTTAAGTATAAGTTTGGAACCATTTTTGAGATAGTACCAACGTGACTTCCATCTTTAGTTTTTAAACTGACGTGACTTCTTATTTACGAGCATGATATTGATTATAAGATGATAAGATTAGATGATTAGTGGATTACTTTCTTACAATCAATGTGGTGTTAATACATTAGTAACTATGTTAGTTAGGATTAGAGGTGGACTGGGATTGGTTCTATTTGGGACCAGTCCCAAATGGGTCCTAGGCCTATGAAAACTTTTAGGGCCCAAACTGGTCCCTAGCTAGGACCAGTCCTAGGCGCATAGGACCAGCCCCATGGGTCTAAAAATTTTCATTTACCCCCCTCCCCCAAATTTTTTTATCAATTTAGGGAATTAATCAAAATTGTGTGGGGGGGTTTAGAAATTTTTAGGGGTAATTTGTAAATTTTTTTAATTAATTAGTAAATAAATAATTAAATATAAATAAATGGTTAAATGTTAATGACTTAATTCTTAATTGGTTAAAAGGTTAGGGTGTTTTTAGTTTAAACTTTAAGGAGATAATAATAATTTAATTTTAACATAAATATAATATTCACACAATCACAGTTCACAAATAAACAATTAAATAAATTTGATTTTATTAAATTATTAATTTACATCGTCAACAGTATGTACATCCTCCAAATCTGTGTTTCTGAAGATGTTGAGTAGTTTAGGATCTTCAGGGTGTTGTTGATCTCTTCTTTTTGCATGAGTCCAATCCCGTAAACATGTTATGACTTCAACCATCTCATTGGTTAAAGAGCATCTTCTCTCTTTAACAATGCGGCCACTAATTGAGAATATTGACTCAGATGCAATTGTCGAAATTGGCGCAAATAAAATGTCACGTGCCATTTGGGCTACTATAGGGAATTGACTTGCATTGTGGTTCCACCATTGAAGCACATCCATCTCACGTTTCTCCTTCTTGGTCATGTAGGACATGTCTATTTATAGGTACCGATGCAGCTCATTTGGTCCAAGTTGTATGAGCTGCTACCACCACCACCACCACTGTTGCATTCCAGAAACGTCCAAATGCTCAATCCTTGTTCTTCATCAAGGTCTTGCTACTCGTCTCTGTTGGCGTTGGACGCTCCATTGTACCTAGTCTAATACAAAGAAAAAAGGCTTTCCATTTATAATTTGTCTTGTGGTTGGTATAGCTTTTTGCAACATCATGTACGTGGAGTTCCAATAGACAGGCATATCCATACATAGCTTGTTTGGTTCAATCGGCGGATCCTCTTGGCGACATTATTTATGGAACTCAGTCCATCTTGAATTGCTATCGACGATGAATCTGATAGCCATGCGCACTCTTTCAATCCTCGAATGTATAGATTTTAAACCTGCTTTAACAATCAAATTGATGATGTGGCAAGCACATCTCCGGTGAAAAAATTTGCCTTCAACAAGCGGACTAATCTCTTTTCAAACAAAGAAATTGCCGAGGTGTTAGCAACTGCATTATCAAGCGCTAGCTCCACAACTCTCTCAGATAATAAATATTCTTGCAAAACTTCAATAATTGTAAAATAAATAGTGTCAGCATTATGTTTTTCTTATAATGCTTTAAAACCTATCAATTTTTGTTGTAAATGTGAATTATGATCTAGGTAATGTATTGTGACACTAAAAAAATCTGTTTTTGATCTAGTAGACATATATCTAAAGTAAGTGTAATACATATATTCCTAAAGTTTTCAAATTCTTTTTTAAGTTGATCTTTTGTTTTATCATAAATTCTTAGTATGTCCCTTCTAATTGTACCTCTACTAACAAGGGTAAATGTTGGGCAAAAAGCATTTTTAATCATTTCAACAAAATAAGGATTTTCAAATAAAGAAATAGAAGAGTTCGTAGCACAGGTGAATTTTGTTATGCACTCTCATGCTCTGACTGCATTATATTGCCATGTTGAGAGAGTTGAGGATTGTGGATTAAAACTAAGTTGAGTTTGGATTTGCTTATCAGGTCTGGTTGAAGTTGAACCGGACTGGCAGGACTTCTACATATATTGGGGGTGCTTCTTCTCTAAGTGTCGCCGCATCGTCGAAGTCCCGTTTTCAACACCGATAATGGTTGGACAAAAATTACATTCCCTGCACGTCTCTTCCCCCAATCCATTTGGCTTTGGCCGTTTTGATTTGGTGAAGAATTGTCATACCTCGAACATGGCCCTCTTTGACAGTCATGTCGTGGAGTCGCAACTCACTTGTGTTAGGCTGGAGCTAGTCCCGACCAGTTGTGGTTGTGGAATTGCAGTTGCTACCTTTAGAAAGGGTGAAAAATGATCGAACCTTTCCATTTCTTCGGTGGATGGAATGTAAAACTCATTTGGGGATGATCCTCTGAATGCATAATTTCGGGAATCCATTATGAATTTATAATAAAATAATAAATAATTAAAATGAACGAAATTGAATAATAATACGAATAATAGATGAAATTGAAAAATAGAAAAAAATGAATAAATTTAAATATAAATTGAATTGAAAAGAATTTGAGAATAATTGGAGTAGAGAGATTGAGAGAATAGATTGAGAGTTGAATTGTGAAGTAAATTGGTGGGGGGGGTGGTGTGTGGGGTGTGGATGTGTTGTTGTTGTTGTTGTTGTTATAGTTGAGGTTTCAGGGGGAAAGTGAAAAATAAAAAAACTTTCCTCCCATGTCATTATTTGTTGCTCAACGGTTGAACCATTTCAAATTTTTTTGGTAAAATGCATTTTTGATTCCGTTTTTATTGTCTATTTAAAAAAAGTAGGGGTTTTTTTTATAATTTCTAGGGGTCTTTTTGACAAAGGGGGAAAGGGTTTGGGCTCGAGCTTGGGACCAATCCCAGGCGCGAGCCTTGGAGGAGGGACCGAACCAAGGCTCAGGCCCTCCTCCATGGTCTTGGTCTGGTTTTGGGACCAGACCTTATACGACCGGTCCGCTAAACCCACGTTTTTTGGTGGGTGTTTTGGGTCCGGTCCCAAATTCCCACCTCTAGTTAGGATCTAATTTTGTAATTCTAACTTTACGTGCATAAGTTTTAATAGGATGATAAATACTTAGTTGAGTGAAATGAAACTTTAAGCAATTCATATTGAAGTCAAATGTTTGAAGTCCCAATAATCCTAGTAAGGTTACACTTTGCTATATATTGATGTAGAATGTCTAGCAGATAAATTCCTAAAGAGGGCAAGCGTCAGAAGCCTGAACACAGGGTATGAAAAATTAAAACAATCATAACTTTTGATCCAGTAGGAGTTATGGGATCTATAAGATATCAACAGAAAGCTTGTTTCAAGCTCAACGACATGGCAATCTGGTTCTTTGGTTGGGGGGTCGTTTGCAAACCCAAAATCCACTGTTTCAACGTGTTTTGTGTCCATTTAAGGTTTTTGCATGTTTTTCCTATTTTATTTGGAGTCCTTTCTTATTTTATAATTAGTCAACACTTAGGATTTTTTTTTTTTTTAAATAATTTGGATTTTATTTCCTTGTTTAGTGGGAGTTTTGGTTGCCTATCACAACCCTATATAAACATATTATTCGTTTTTTTTTAAGATATATAATATTTTTCAAAATTTCCTTCAAACTTTATGACTTAAGTTTTTGCATTTGAGACTTATTTATCACTCTTAAAGGCATAGTCGAGTGCTAGTCTTTTTTTACGCTAACTCGCTCTGTCAGTTGTATCAAAGCAGGCAAAATTCATCTGATCTAATGGTAGGTGATGAAGTTGTAAGCGGCAACAGTTCTCATGGTTGAGATCAGGGAACTAAGACCTCAAAAAGAGTGGCGTCGAGAGCTTTAGAGCAACGAATGGATCTTAGATTCTAGAGTTTGGAATGAAGCTTTGAAGAAATTATGGATCGACTCATTGCTTTAGGCATAGATACCAATAGAAACATGAATGACAAAAGGCAACATACTGAGGATGATGACACTCACAAAAAACCTATTGGTAGGCCTGTTTTTGCAAATAGACATAGACAACAAGTCTACTTGGAAGATTCAGAAAAAGAAGATGATTACTATATAGAACCTGAAAAGCACATTAGATATGGTAGAAATCAATATGGTGACAGAGAAGCCAATAAATTTAGATTAAAGGTATATCTCCCTTGTTTTACAGGAAATTTAGATATAGAAGAATTTATGAATTGGATGGTGAAAATGGATAGGTTTTTTGAATATATGGAGATCCCAAAGGGGAGAAGGGTGAAACTTGTTGCATGTAGATTGAAGGGACGAGCTTTTGCATGGTGGGAAAGATTACAATCCATATGATTTTACGAGGGGAAAGCACCAGTTAGAACATAGTATAGGATGA